ATATAAGGGCATAGAATAGTAATTAATATACTTTAGAGCAGTATGGCAAACCAACTTATCTAGCTTAGGTTGGCCTAGGTATACTATACTAGGCCTCTAGCCTATGCAAGGCTGGCATATTAGCTAGGCTAGGCCTAGCTAGCGTCTACTGTAGGCATCAGCCTAGAACTACCAGCAGTACAGAGCAGACTGGCGGAGTGGAGGACTGGTTTGCAGTTCAACTTTAGTTTTAGGCCTAGTCTAGTTAGGCTGTCTGTGTGCACACACCATTATTCTATATTATAAGCAAATGTATGCTTAGGTCTAGGTCCTAGCTGGGTCAGACTTTGCGCACTACAGCTCTTGCTGGTTATACATACAGTATTCTAGGCTTAAAAGGTTGACGATCTTTGACTTCACACGAACACACTACTAGCCTTCCTTCATACACAACTTGGCGGCGCTATATCCTTTTTGTTTATGATCAATCAATGTTAACATGCTCAAATCCAACCTTATTTTCCTGCTATTAAGCGATACTCACCGATTTTAATTTCATTAGGATCGAATTTAGGTGGCATCTCTCTGCTTTTTTCTGAACTTTTTGCTTATAAAAAACGAGGCGTTAGTGTCGGATGAGCCCGATTGTGGACACTACCGAAAAGTTGCACTACACCTTGTTCCAGCACTAGGCGTAAAAAGGCCGACGACGAAGAATCTCTCGTAGAATTTTTGACTATCGACTGTAGAGGGCGCTCTGCTATTTATCACAATAACGGCTTTCTCTGTATTCTGTATCATTCGGATCCAGAGGACAACTAGGGGGTGCTGCGTTATGAAGAGTAATGTGTGACTGGAAATGGTCTGCCAGTGATGTTGGGAGTACAGCAAGATGAAACTATTTTTGTAATGCATGAATAAAGTTCGGGGTTTGTCGGATAGTGAAACGATTATTGTACATTTTAAGTGTTCCCTCCATGCATAAGTGTACGCTAAATTACGGTGATTAGCAAGGGGATGCAAATGCTTTATGAAAATGAGTACTCATTTTCACAAAGGAATACATTCAACTGGTTAGCTAACAATATGAAAATCTACATGAACACCTGGGAAGAAAGGTGCAATCACGTTCTGTTGCCTAGCAAACGTCTGTACTGTAGCGTGGGTGGGGAGGGGGGCGCTACTGATGTACTGTGTATAGCGGGGGACAATGAAGCATAATATGATTAGGCCTAAGTAGACAGTTTATACTGCAGGCCTAATCTTATTGTTGGAATATGGACCATAAGTCATATTTGGACAGGACGGGGGTCCGTGAAGATTTTAGTATGTCCAGAGAAGTCCGCGAACGCAAATAGGTTGGGAACCACTGATCTAGAGTTACTGTTTCTTCAAATTTTCGCACCTCATCATAGTTGTGTTTAGAGAGAAATTTAGAGCCACGAATTCCCCCATCCCCGCTTTACCTCTCAAAAAGGTATATGCCCTTGCTCTGGCCACATTTATGGTTGTTTTGATGTCAGTAGCCCTTCAATCACCGTAACTATTCTACCGCCATGTCATCATCATTCTCAGTGGCGGCGACATTTCCCCCTCCCCCCGATAATGTTCTTTTCCCCCCTCAAAAAAATGATATGTATTTTCAACATATTAGTAGTGTACAAAATCGATTTAATGAGCCTCTGAAACCCCTAATTGTACGTTATATTGCGGGCGGGGGATTTTTCCCTGGACTTTTTTCAATGCATTTTAGCGACGCCCGACACCTCAGCATATTTTCCCCCTTACCCTTCCCAGTGCCCACCCTAACCTGTCTTAAACCGCAATCGCACTGGGATTTAAGAGAAGACTTTACCAAGACCGTGTGTATATTCTAATCGGTAAATCTTCCTGTCGTTCGCACATGGAATATTTGGCGTGATTAGTTTTACCAGGGAACCTCTACGAATGGGACGCTGGGATGGACAGGAGTACGCCTGGACTTCGAATGTTGCACAAGCTCACGAATGACCATGTCACTCTAACACCTGCCTCCCGTATGCGAGTGTATCTAGCGGCACAGGTAAGCTGTGTTTTATAGTAGCTTTAAATTAATATCGATGTTTGCCCGCCGAAAATAGCTTAATAAGACGGATCACAGAATATTCTGTTCATCTTTCAGGTTTTGAGCAAGACACTATCGAATGCTCTAGTGATACAGGGCAAAGAAGAAACTGAGTCGACGCGCTATTTCATCAACATGTTTGATAGGTTTTTCGATTGCTTAAACGTTTCCAACACAATTGCATGGAAGTTGCAAAACAAACCTGATCGTAGACCGTATGAAGACGTGAATGATCCTCGCTTTGATGTAAGTGTTTGCCGGATCCAGCAAAATGTGTAATAGTGAAATCCATTTAACATTTTAAAAAAGATGGGGGGGGGGCAGAACAGAGCGTGAACACATCCTTTATTTCCGCATAACTACTCTATGACTACTTACCTTCCTCGTTTTGACGTGAATTTTGTTGTTGTCGGCACCGATACAGTACCGGTACATCATATAAATAAAAAAAAGTGCATACAATGGGCCTACAATTCATTTACTTGTATTCGTTTGTTGCATAAATACATGTACTTACCCTCCTCAATCGCTTATACACCGTCCTTTTACCTCTTTTCCTTTTTATCTCCCACCACTTTCACATGCCCGATTTAAATCTGATATTCGATAATATCGTTAATAGATTTTTTTTTTCAGTGGCTGGTTAATGACTTTTTAGGTTTCATTAATGATTGGTAAGAGGAGTCAATGAAAGTAAAGGGGCTAAAAAAAATGAAAAACAGAAGTTGTGCTTAAGTAAGCAGATGCTATTAGGACTAGGGATGACAGGTACAGTCCTTTATTTGGTTTATGATTTCAACAACTTATCCAGTATTGGGCCTCCCAGTGGAGGCGCCAGTTGGGGGTTAGAGTAATTCCCCCACCCGTCGGATACCGTATATCCCTTTCCTGTCTCCAGCACCAGAGGGACGTCTCGTGATTCCACCACCCGTTGGATATAGGCCTATCATTTTCCCGTCCTACAGTGCCATGGTGACGTCATCTGACGAAGAATAGTAATTTTCCTATCTATTTAAAGTTTTTAATTGCCAATTCCTAATGTTGTTGTCCAAAATGCACAATTTTTGGGACATCGAAATCTTACAATGTCTTTTTACAAATTTTCATTTCAGTGCTTTCGTTTGTAGCTGTCGCAAAGGAGCTCCTTCAGGAAGAATCAGTGAAATATATTCTAAGTGAGAAATTTTGCCAAGACCCACTGGAGGAATATTTCAGCAAACAGAGGTCTGCAGGCGGCAACTACGAAAATCCAACCGTGGCAGAATTCGCAAATAATTTGCCGAGGCTACACGTAGCAGGCCCACACGTTTCAGCGGCGTCATGAGGAAATGTGACCCAGGATAAAAACAGGGAAAGAAAAAAATAAAAATCTACAGACCTATTTGGTCTATCGAAGTGATAAAACAAAAGAAAGGGCAAAACCAAAACTATTTTAATAAATTGAATATTTCTTTTCATGGTTGATTGTGTCATTTGCCGACGTCAGTATGTTAACGTTACAGATACGCGGCATGATTTTCATCTAATTTTAAATTTAATCCTCCATTTCATAATTTATATCAATCATTGTGTATACTTCATATCAGCCAGAAACAGTGTTTCATTCCAAGCTTTATATTTGTCATATTTTCAATATTCTTCTCGTAATAATCGGGCTGCAATTACAAGTCTACCGTAAATTGCTTTATCATATCAATTAATGTTTATGTTTTTGTTTGCCTAACCATAGAAACAGTGGAGACACAATGTTGTATACTGTTGTTCTTCTGCACTGTTGGTGACTCATTCTTTCATTTATGTTAGTTCTTCTGCACTGTTGGTGGCCCATTTTTTCATTTATGTAAAATTATTTTTCGTCAAAACCATTTCTAAACATTTGGGAAAATGAAGAAGATACAAGATAATGCGCATTCAAATTAATAAATCACTATTCTTTATTGATGGTATAATTCTCTGAATTGGAATTTGTGTCATAATTCTTGTAGTATCGTATATATTTCTACTTCTTTTTGGTGTTCGTCGTGCCGCAACGCGTACCGAAAAGTTCTTGTAAGACGATTACAGTAATGACAAACAAACTAACAGTATACATGCGACCCGACACGGCCGGCAGCATAAATGAAAGGCAGCCATTTTTCGTTAAGAAGTTTATGGAGTTATAAGCAAGCTTTGTAGAATAGGATTGGGACTAGTCAACTCTTTAAAGTTAAAAAATACAGATTTCAGAATGGGTAAAACAAGCACAACAGCTCCCTGGTAAGGTGAGAGAGGTGAGAGGCTTCTTTGAAATTATGAATATTTGCACTAACGCCTGACGTTTGGCTGCATCTCGTCTCCATAATATTTTAGGCCTAGCATAGGCCTAGGTCAATATTCCTACATAACTACCGTACTTTACATCGACACTTAAAGAAAAAAACACACTAATGTTAGCATTATTTCCGTTAACATTTAATAGAAAATTAGCTTCTTTGCTTTATTCCTTTGCTGTAAATTCTAAGCAAACTCAGGTGACCTTCAATAACCGGTCTACTGTAATAATAATAATAATAATATTTATTGACATTACACTTTTACATCAGTGGCAGCACACAAGAAAGTGGCGCAGTCAAACTTAAACTAATGAACAAAGAGTAAAACAGCAACTTAATAAAGGCTGTCTCTTATACACATCTTATATATATATATATATACATAAATACACACACACATATAAATATACATATATACATACAGTACACATATACATATTAAATACATACATACATACATACATACGCACATACGCACATACATACATACATACATACATACATACATACCGTACATATGTACACCCATATATACATACACATACATATACACACACATACACACCCACACACACATATATATTATACATATATACAAAGCGTTATAAAAGTATATAAAAGAAATTAAATTTAAAACATAAAAAAGAAATATATGTATTACTAAAGCAACAATGCATTTAACCTATTTTTAAATTTGATCTTCTATCCCAAGCTTTTTTAGCAAATGTTTTACAATATCTGTCAAATGCAGATTGAACATCATCATTAAGGAGATTATTTTTCCCCCCAGGAACAAAATGAATTTTATCATCAATATCAGATTCTGAGAAAGTATTCCAAGTTGCAGTCTCATTGCAAAGTTCAAGGTCTTGTTGTAAAATAGCTAATTCTGCCTCTCTGATTATATCAAATGATTTACAGTTAAATAAAAAATGATGAATATCTTCGGTTTCGACACTTTGGCACAAGGTACACTGACCATTAATTTCTTTAGACCATTTGCAGGTCTTGCCATCAAGAGGTAATGTGTTGGACCTTAATTTAAATTTTAGACTTACCCCCACAAAATTAGTTTTATCAAGCAGATATTTTTCGAAGCTTGGTGTAGATTTCAATTTTGAATAATTTTTAAGAGAAAGCTTTTGGTTAATTTGAGTTTCCCACTCAACGTTGTATGAGTCTGCAACATGTGTATTTACAGTTCTAACAGGAAAAGAATTAAAAGTGAAATTATCTAAATCAAAAGCATGTTCAAACATATTTAAATCTGTACATTTATCAAGTATATTCTTA